ATACCTTCTCCCTCCCAATAAAATGAAGCAGAGCCTGCCGTGACCACCCCACGCTGAGTAACTGGCTTGTGCCCTACCTCCAGCATCTCCAAGACCACAGCTTTTTTTCTAGTGGAAAGGAGTTGAGAAATGTGGCTTTGGCCAGCTCGGGAGAAGGGGCCTTTATGTATACCAGCAAAGACCCAATTGTTACTGAATCCAAACTGGGCAGTTTTTCCCAATTATCTCCACTACTCTTCTGGTCTCTACTTTTCAGATGCCAAGTTTTAACCCAGAACAAAAGCTCCTGTCAGGACCGATTTATAAGCTAGATCTGCTGACAGGGCCCTAAAGCGTCCCACCCCTCCAGGACTGCACCGAGCTTAAAGTTACCACGGAAGCCTCTGGGCCTCGAGTCTCTTCACCTCTGCCCTTTGTCCCCAGCCAGGAGGTGGCATCTGTCTCTGGGTGCCGGTGGGATGGCCTCCCTTCGGTTCCTCTGTCCACCTGCCCAGCTTGGAGGACCAGCTGGCAAGAACACCCCAGCACCGCCCAGGAGGCTGAAGCTACAAGTTACTTCTAGGAGCGGCTGTGGGCGGAGGCTGGCGGTTCTGAAGGTGGTAGCTCTCCTCCAGAGTGGCTCCCCTCAGCCCCTTTCATCTGAACGTCAGGGCTCATGTCACTTGTTATTCAGCCTTCCAGAGGCACCAGAAGGAGTCATTTCCTGAGGGTAGGCTCTGTGCAACCGAAGTGGAGGATTATCTTCCCCGGGAGCCCGGCAAGGGGCATTCAGCAGGTTGCTCTGCCTGGAGCGTGAGAAACAAGGGGCAGCCGGTCTCGGGAGACTAGGGGGTCTTCCTGGCTCTTGAGGCCCGTTCCAGTCTGATCGGAGGAGTCAGTGGGAGCTGGGGCCAAGAAACGAAGCAGAATTGCGGGCCAAAAGACAGAGCACTCTGGTCGGCCCCAAGGTGGCCGGTCCACCTTCGTTCTTGTAACCTCAGCGTTGGGAGCCCCTAAGTCCCATTCCCGAACTCAGCCGCTGGGCCGTGCGATTGGCCTTGGGGGACACTTCGGAAAGACCGGGTGAGTCTGACTCCCCCGTGCCAGGGCGCGGAGTCCCTCCTCCGCCCCACCTCCCGGCGCCGT